AATTTGGCAAGAAAAAATGGTTAAAATAACGTTACAAAACATAAATTGCGTCTAAATGTTCAATGACATATGAGACTTAGAATCTAATCGCGTTATCTCTTTTTCTCCTTCTCTCAATACTAATCAACTCTGTTACTTTAACGAAACGTTGCCATCCTCAAAGAGATTTTGAGTCTCTGGCAAAGGGATTATACTAGCTGAAACTTCTATCGCGAGTTAGAATTTAGCGACGGAAAGCTATCGTAGAAACCATGGACGTGAATTTATTGAACGAAGCTGTATCAAATTTCGCAATCGCGTTCGTCGAGCCAAACTGTATACAAGATAAAACATAGGTAACTACGATCAAATAGAAATCCGATGGAGAAATGATTTTCAGAGAGAAAGAACTATCAGGTAGGAGAACTGTCGATCGATAAATATTTAATACAAAGACCAATTTATTCGTTAATCATTTAAGAAATTTATATTATACGTTGTTTTTATTGGAAACGTTTCATATCAAGATAGAAATCAAAGCGTTTTGTTTGGAGTGTTTGAACCACCATGAGAGCGAGCTTCTTTTCCTCCCAGAACAATTTCAATGTACATATTTTTTCCATAGGTAACTCAAATGCATACATGTTGCTATATGTATTATAAAAAAAAAAAAAAAGATTGTTTCGTTTTGGAAAGAGGTCGCGTATTTGATGCGCGAATGTAGTCAAGCATGTACTCGCGTTCGAGCGCTTCTGTTCAATCGAGCGATAAAAGGATCGGTTTCGAGATGAAGAGAAGTGGAGTAGTAGGTAGTCAAAAATATTGCTATCTCGCGAGGAACGTAGGATACTTTTTACCGCTTTTTCTTTAAAAGGTTTTATGCATGCACCCTCCCCCCCCTCTGTACTACGTAAGGTTCTACGCACCTACGCCCGCACATACGCACGCACATAAACCTCCCACGAGGCGTCGTAAAGCTGAATTTATTAACACCGGGAACGACGGTAAGATTTGCCAAATGGTATTCAATTTGTACTGTAACGTTTCAGAAGGAGCACATGCCCGACAGATTCCGTCGGTGCTTTCGTAGAAACATCATTATTATTATCAGAGTATGCTTTCCAACTGTCTTTTTATTATCTATTTCTTTTTTCCCCATATCTACATTTAGATAGATGATAATTTAGTTTACCTGTACATGCGCGTTTGATATTACTCTTATAGTTTGCTTAAGTGTTTGTTATAAATATCGTATGATCGGTTTCGATTTGAAAGGCTAGAATGCCTTTCTCGAATGCAAATCATTGCGGAAAGTGCAGTGTACGTGGAGTCTTCTCCTGGTTTTCTCAAACGTCGATGCTGCGATCGGATTGGAGAATGGAAGGAAGCCTCGGAGATGTTCGCGGACGAGGATATTCGAATGCATTGCGCGGGATGCTCGTAATTTCCCCGGGTAAGCTTCAGCAAATTAGCTCCGGGCATACGTTACCCTCGCCTTAGTCCTTCCTTTCCTACACCCCTCCCTCCCTTCTCTACTCTCTTTTCTGCAAACGTACAGATGGAGGAGAAAGAGGAGAAAGAGGAGGAGAAGGTTGGCGCGGATAGGACACCGGTCTTCCAAATGTCTACGTTATTCTCCATCCTTCGTGTAGGTGAGACGGGAGGGGCAAGGCTCGGCTACCGCCTTGGAAAAGCTCCAAGAGAAAAGAGAGTCCAAATAGTAGGAAACAGAGAGAGAACACCTTACTMTGCTTTACCAGACAGACAGACAGACGGATAGAAAGAGAGAGGGAGAGAAATAGAAGGAGATATCTCTCGTTCCTGGAAGGCGTAACGAGAAAGCTCCGCCTGCAAGCTCATCGGTACACGCCCAGGGAGTGTAGCTTTGCCACCCACCAGGCGAACCTGGAAAACACTTTGGCTACCACCACGATAACGTAAACCCCCTCCATCGGTTCTCTCTTTCTCTCTCTCTCTCTCTCTCTCTCTCTCTCTGTCGTCCTTTCTATCCCCGCTTGGCCAGCAATTCCTTTCTCCTCTTCCTATTCCCTTCTCCTCATTCCACTCCTTTAGCACGCGACTTGGGTAGGAGAGTCGCAAGTTCGAAGCGCTTTGCACACAGATTGCATCGGAGGCATCCGCGGATGCAATCGTTACCCCACTGTCGCCTACCTTTTCTACCCCTTCTAACTCCCCCCTAGCTAGAATTCTCTTCTTCCTATTCGTAGCTTCCACGTAGCCTTCCACGTAGCCTTCCACGTAGTCTTCCACGACAGCACCTCTTTACTCTGATCCGCAAGCGCGCGCGCCAGTGTGAGTGGATTTGTCGAGCTGCTATGGCTGCATAGAAACCAGCACCAGTCTACCTACCACCCTGAAACTTCCTTCTTCGATCCTTTCCTTAACTTATCCAAGTTTCTATCTAAAACCCACCTTCCTGAACGTTGAACAACGTTAAAGCACGTGGACGCCTTCTCCTTTGAGAGATTTATACTTTCGCAACCTATATCAGCTTCTTGGCTAACTTAATGCTGCCAATTAATGTTTGGCATGTATAATGATACTTTTATCCTGATAGAAATTTATTTTTGATATTCTTTTCGAGAACATAGGACCATACGTGATCGCGATATAAGCGCGATTAAATTTGGGCGTCGTCGTGCGCATTTTCGTACACATTCTCCATCGGAAATCGGATTTGATGAGTGTAAAACGTTGTAACGTTGAACGAAATCTCTCAAAGAATAGTGAATCCGTCGGGCCGAATCTGTTTAAAGCTAGAGCTTTTTGCAAACATATCATTATTTCCAAAGTAAAGGTAAATCTTGTGAAAACAAAGTAGGTATATGCGAACATTGACGACAATTAATGTAATACAACACGTAATACGAAAACAGTAATCATAAGATTAACATATATCTTTGCTCGGATACTACAAATAAATCTATACTTCTCTACCACATCATTTTTATTGACTTTTCTTTCACTTCATTCCTTGCTGTGATCCAAACCTATGCAACATCATTCATTCGTATAAATTCTTAATTAAAAATGACGTAGACTCCCCTCTCTTCCGGTACGTTAAATATTAAATCGTATTAAGATACGGTTATCCAACGGAAACCGGAAATGATAAACTACAATGTCATCGTCGGTATATCACTTTGTTCCTTGCATTTTTAACTGTTAATATGAAAGTATAGAAAAATAAATATTTACAAATAAATAAACTTAGGACTGCACACACGCATAGTCTCGTATGCATACGTAAATCTAATGGAAATGATAAATGTTATTGCGCTACAAAATGTTATTCTTTTGAATGTGTAGCATACATGATTACAAATTTAAATCCTATTGTAACAAATGCAAATATAGTTTTAAATACATATGTAAGTTTAACCTTGTTTTACATAAAACAGCTTAACATATAAATCGCATGCATAATAATGAGCCTTCAATTTTGTAAATCCGTTTTAGCAATTGTACCTTTGGGGATAAATACATATTCTAAAAGAATAGCGAGAATGAGAATACATTTTTCATTAGACTTTGAAACGATGACAAAAAATCAATAAATATCTATATGTAGTATAAAGACCTATATATATATATATATATATATGGTGACCGAGGAATAATAAAGATTTGACTTGCTTGGTATGCCATCATGTGTTTAATACCATTAATTAACCCTTTGCGGACTACCGTTGCATATATATGTTCTGCGTAAACCATCAATTTGGCCGAGTAACTCATATATGCGTTTGGCTGAAACAACTGATGACAAACAACCTCTGTCCACTATTATTTACAAAATGTTATATAATCCCTAAAACGAAGAAGAAACTTATTACGGAAACATCAAATGTAGAAGGTGAGAATAATATGATAAATAACAATATGTGCTGAGTTCAGAAGATTCGATAAAAAATATTCATATTATAGTTTTGGAAACACACTTAGAAGTTGTTCATGGTCGAGAAATAATTAAAACCTAACATTGGCATCATTTGAATGAAACAGATTCTGGGATCAAAGTTAATATATATTCGAACTATACTCGTTAGTCATTAATCGTTACTCGTACGCGTTAAGATAATATATCTAGAATTTTATACCTTGGATTTCTATGAACGAAAATTGCGCTTAAGCCGAAATATATAGCTGACAATTTTAATTGACTATTGCGAAAACGATTCGGCTCAGTGGAACGCTTAGCTTTGAACCGTCCCATTTGCAAAGGGTTAATTGTCTCCGATTATAATCCGATGTCAAAAAGCCACTAACCAAATACCCAACGCCGCGCGTTAATTCGTACACGATTCTTTGATACGAATCATTTATAGTCTTTCGGAGTTAGAATTTTCTATGCAATCGGTGTAATGAATCATTTTGGATATTAACTTTAATATAATATTTTTATGTAACAATGATATTTTTGATAGTTCTCAATCGTGTGATATCTTTCAAAGCAGTCTCCAATATGAATCATTTATCTAAATAACATTTGAAATAAAATTTCCGCCAGAGAATCGATTATATTATTTAGAAGAGATTGTAAACTCGATCGTTGCGCCTAAGCTAGGACGATCGTGGAGTCGGTCTAAGAAGAAAGTGTTGCAGATGCACAGGTGCAATAGAGTAGTAGTAGTCTTGCACCTTATCTCTCGGGACACACCCCCGAGTAGTAAAACGACCGAGAGAGTAGGGGAATTTTAAGGGAGATAGCAGGAAGACAGAGATGATTAACAGATTATCAAATGTCGAGAAGAAAATTAACGAAAAATCATGGAAAGGGTTGAATAAAAAGCTCGGCAATGCAAAAGAAAATTTGAGAGAGGGAGAGAGGGTCAACGTCAACGACAGCGGCAAAGGCAGCGGCAAAGGCAGCGGCAAAGGAAGCGGCAGCGGCAAAAGTAGCGCCGGGAGGACGATGGTGGGGTTGAGCTTGACGGAGGGTAGGGGGTGCTGTAGGGGCAGAACCAGCGCCGCGACGCCTCATCACGCACAGTCGCGGCTCGAACGCCGTTCGATGCGAACGTGTCGTTGTTACGGTCCGTCCTCGACCGCCCTCTACCTGTTCTTTCTTTCTCTTTCTCTTTCTCTTTCTCTTTCCCCTTTTCTCATTTTTTCTTATTATCTTAGACTTCACCTAACTCTCGTTATTTTCCATCTTTCTTTCTTTTTTTATCCTCCTAATCATCGAAGAAGTATTCGACGAAGGATTTTTGGACATTCGAAGAAAACTAATAATAGCACACGATTATTAACTTTCTCGATTTTGGTATCAAAGTTATTCATCGAATCAAAAAAGCGTATGCAAATTGAGAGAGTGACTCGGATAATAAATGATCATTGGCTTTTTTTCGTGAGTGATAAGTGACTTTTGTTTTCATCGAGGACCCCAGTGTACTACGTTACGTTTAAACACTCCCCTCTTCGGCCCCACTTTCCTCTTCTCAACCGAGAGAGTTAGAGAGCACGTGTCTTCGTTACGAGGGCTGATAGTTTTCATAAACATTGACAACGCGATTGTCATCGTGCACATTTTTAAATGACCACCACGATGGTGTGAATTATTTGAGAGATTCTTTGCCATTCTCGATCTATTGACTTTACAAAAGAGAGGAAAAAAGAAGAGTACGCATATATAAAAGAAAATCGAAAAAACGAAGGTAAACAAACGAACGAAGAGTGCTGTGTCTGTCATAAATGGCGGTGACTCGCGAGCCCTGGAATGCTCGCTGAGAGTTTGTTCTAAGGAAGGGAATGGATTTTCAGAGCGCGATGGACACGTTCGTTGAGGCATGGATGGCTGCTAATACAAAAAACGATCAAGTACAGGTGAGTATTCCATTTTGTCTTATTTTTCTTTCAATTTCGTAATCCCATAAGTACTGTACAATTATCGAGTATTATTAAATAAACCTGCTTATTTCGCGGAGATGACACGCTCATAAAGTCAACGCATTCCAACGCGTTCGAGGGTGAGTTAACCGAAAAGCAACCCCTTCCAACATTACACGGCCAATTGACCACCCCAGTCAATCTCTACTACCCACCCTTCTTCTTCTATGATCGTCCCATTAAAACGTACATCATGCCTTTACTATACTTGTAATGTTCTTTAAACCAACATTTTTAGTTTGAAAAAATGTTGAATACCAGTGCCTGTAGATATTCTCTGTCTGCACTAAAAGTCAATGTTCGGGAAAATGAATACATATACATATGGGATAGATAGAAATATATTCATACGTATGTTAATCCGTGATACGGTCTAAAATTTCACGCTGAATATAAGACTGGAGGCAGGCAGGGAGGCAGGGAGGCAGGCAGGCAGGCAGGCAGGCACTGGTCGATGGGAGGACGAAGGGAGGGCTGGAAGATAATCCTTGGTAAAGCCGTGGCTTTTGAATGTGTTGCGTGGATGAAAGTACGGGACGTTTATACGTGTAGGTAGCCGGGGGGTCACGGGTTCTGACCACGATACGGATGTGCCCCTGCCTTCTTCCTGTGCCACGATCATGTTCGTGTTCTGGCATTCGGTGCAATAAGACCGCCTATCCATTGACCGCTCGATCGTCACCGAAGGATCCATTATTTTACATTCGGTCAAATATTTTTTATAGTCGAACTTAACACGAGAATATAGTTTTCGTTGGATTGTCTTATCTCGAAAGATTTATACGTATATACATATTTACGTATGTATGTATACATGCTAAGATATGATCGTGAATGATTTGAATATTTTGGTAAGCATTGACTTTTACATTTCGTAATATAACAGTACAATAAATTATGATACCGACGAAAAAAAAGTCCTATTAATTCTCAAATCTTCTACGAAGTTTCAAGATTTATTTCAAGTCTTCATTTACTTCAAAACAAAACCAACGACTAATAAAAATACGTACAATTTCTATTGAATTATATCATTAAATCAAAGTTTGATGAAAAAACTTTAATCAGTAGGTTGCGTATTGAAAAATTTCATTTCAACTCCAACAAACTTTTTTTCTTAGACAATTCTTATCTGAATTTATAAATTTCGTAGAATTTTCAAAGTGTACGCGTGAATTCTTTGTTGAAATCGTTGAGTTGTCGTCAGGAGGATAGAAATCATCGCTCTAGAAACGTTACGTCGAGACGAAAAAGGTTAATGGGTTAAATATCACATAGTGTTGTAAGATTTTACGCGCATTACCATCCGCAAATTGTGGAAAGCCGTAAGCTTCACGAGTAGCAACATGGATTTGCGCGAGGTACTATCTCATTTCCATTAATGCGAGAACCTGAGAGAAATTAATTCCATAACGTTGTTAGTTGACTAATAAAAAAAAAAAAACACCGAAATGCTTTGAAGCAAGTCCGAGACAACGGCTTTTGTGCGTACTCGACGTTTACCGGTACGCCTCGCGATGTAGCTTCCTCCTACGACAAATCGCCCCATCCTCGTCTTTCATGTATTTCATTTCCGCTGGGAAAAAAATCCGGAATAGATACGACTCGCCACAAGAGTAAACCCTTATTTTTTTTAATTGGTCGAAAATAAAACATATGGAATATTAACCAAAATTTTAGATAGGAGGTGGGTACTATTTAAGTGGTACACAATAAAAACTACAGATATGAAGATTTTCAGAAGATTTTCAGAAGACAGCAGGTAACTTTTGAACGATATTGTACCACTGAAAACTTCCACACCCTTCACATATTTTTCAAGTATATTCATGAATTTGTTTCGGTTCGATAATGCTTTATTATGCACTCCTGTCAACTGTACATTCTCTTTAACGTTTTCATGTATTAATAAATATCGCGTCGATTTATTAATAAATGGAAATGAAAAATAGATTTTTACTCGTCTGGGTGTATTTTTATGACAAAGAAAAGAAGAGAGACGGTCGTACAATTGGTTCTGTTCATCTTTAGTTACTTGAGGATCTCTCGAGAGGACATTTAGAAGCGCGAAAGATTTCTAAGAAGACGAGGAGACGTGCTTGGAAGTTCGTGAAACTCTGCACGTTTATATGGCAAAGTGCGTCGTGTGTGCGTTGGATACGTGGGTAGGATACGATCGAGGCACGCATGGTCACGGTATTTGACCACCCCAGGCTCCCGGAATTATCGTGATCCATCTATCCGGCCTACAGAGTCGATACGTCAAACGTCGACTAAAGCGGATAGAGAGAGAAAGGAAAGAAAGCTTTTCAGCTTTTTCATGTAATAGATTTTTTAATTATACAAGTAACCTGTGATACTTGACGCGACGTGACATAATAAGATCCACCGAACAAGAGGTACAACAAATTTTTATCGCCTTTCATTTGGATATTGCGTCGAAAAAGAAATCATATTTACTAAGAAAGCTACAAACGATAGAAAATGATAAAAAAGTTTAATACTAATAAGATTGAAAAAGACCAAACTAGACTAATCGATTATGCAAGATAAGAGATTAAAACTAAATAAAAGATTGATCGGTATGGCTAGGAAAGAAAATAGAAAGAATTTCTGAGCTGAGATAATAATTGATCTTGATATTGAAGAAAAAAAAGAATGTGATTTCCTTTTTCTCGTCATATAATTTATATTCTTAAATGAACATCTGTTACGTTTGACGAAGCATGAACTACACGGCAACGACAACGACAACGACAACGACAACGACAACGATGACGACACGACAACAACAACGACAATGATTTATGTAACGTGATGGCATCGATCTGCGGATTATCTCATAGAAAGGGGAGAGGGGCCCAATTATCGTTCGTGGATATCGACCATCCGATATTTCGATAAGCTTGATTAGAATGTTGCACGATTAGCATGCGACGGGCCATGACAACCATTTAATTCCACTATCGGTCTCTCTCTCCCTCTCTCCCTGTCTCACACACATACACACACACACACACACATATACATTCTCTCTTCCTTGCTCTCTTTATCTATTTCTTACATCAGTGATTAGAAGTATTATCGACAGATTAAGAAACGTATAGAAAGTCGGGACACTTTTAGAACACTTTCTTACAAATTGATTTATTCTCCGTCGATGAAAGCTTTTCCTTTAGATTATTAATGTGAACGCGAAAACATTCATTTCCTTTCTCATCGTACCTTGGTAGATTTAATTTTTGGAAATATCGCAATCCCATTAGAGAATTAATGGATAACAGTTGATGTGTGCATTAGATGGTAATAGATATTAAATTAAAAGAACTATATGTGTTCAGTCTTTATTAAGCCGATATTCGGATAAATCCCGATTCTCAGTGTGGTAGGAAGTAAAAGTTTAAGAACGAGTACCGATTAAGGTTATCGCCTTAACGGGAAGCGAGCAAGCAGGAAACATCGTCGGCACGTATCTCCCTTTTCGCGAGATAGAAGGATCCATCGATGAACCTCACCGATGACCCAGGGTCCATTGAATATGTCCATGAAATATCTTCTCTATCGTACGATTTTCCATTTTTTCGTTTGTTTCTTTCTTATTTCAGTTCGACGTGCTCGATAAGAGAACGAGAAAGAGTATTTATTACATCTCGAGATTGGAGACCATACACAAGTCATATACAAATATAAAGATTCAACAAAGATACTAAATTCCGTGTATTTCGAAATAATAAAGAGAAATAAAGAGAAATAAAGAGAAATAAAGAGAAATAAAGAGAAATAAAGAGTAAAACAATTGTTATCCTTGGATGACGAAAAGATGATAAGGTAAAAAATATGAAACGTAATATGTAAGTCAAGACGTAGAGGTAGAGGTAGAGGTGCAATTTGACGAAATTGAAAAAACGACGCAGAGGGAAAGGGTGGTAAAAGGAGTCGAAAGGAAAAGGTTGGCGGAATCCGAGTAGGGAGAGAAGCGAGGGCGACATCCTCCCTGTGAGTCACGTCGTCGTTACACGACGATGCCGGTCGGGGCGTTAGCCGGATAAGCCGCTAACCCCATCCACCTGTTGCCCCTTCTTACGGGCTGCCGCGTTCGGAAGTTGGCCGTTCCTCCTCCTCCTCCTCCTCCTCCTCCTTCCTTCTTCGTTCTTCCTTCAAACGAACCATGTTTGGAAAGAGTAAGAGAGAGAAAGAAATAGCGAATACGCGCGCGAGTGTAGCTTAGTGTACGTTAAAAAGAGAGATGAAAGTATAGGGCCCCCTCGTTGCCCTTCCATCCTCCTCGAAGCTCTTGGCAAGGCCCCGACTCTTCTTCTCATCCTCTTCCCTTTCGAAGCCGACTCTTCAGCGGTCTGACGTGTTTTTTGCAAGTGCATACCTCCGAGCAGCTCCCGAAACAGTAGCCGGTACTCCAGTACAGTCCGGGCAAGTGAAAAAATCTTTTGGCCATCCCTACCGGTTCCTAGGCTAATCGAATCCTCGAGATATTCATGCAACTATTATAGCTTCTTTTCCTCTTGCAGATAGAAAGATCAAGGCGTTTCTTTTTCTTCTTAAATATTATTAATTTTATGATAGAGAATACATTGATAAATACATATGGAAAAATACGTTTCTCTTGGTCAGAATTAGAATAATAAAAGGAACAATATCTCACATAAGAGTTATTCACATAAGAGTTTTGTTAGTCAACGAGATTACAAGAGAAAGAGGATAAAGTGAGGGTAATGCAAATAGGCGACACGGATAGGCGGCACGGATAGGCGGCACGGAATTAGAAAGGATGACGGAGGGTTAAACGTTCCTCTCGTTTATGGCTCATTCGCGCTCTCGAATTCCTCGGAGCCGTCATCGAACGAGATCGTCGGTGCATTTCGCAGTTCGTGGCTTGCTTGCTTGCCTGAGCTTTTAAATGGCACTGACTGAAGTAAACCCCATTGCAAGGTTGCCTGCCTGCCTGCCTGCCTGCCTGCCTGCCACCGTGTAAGATCGTCGCATTCTGGACCCAGTTAACCCTCGTTGACACCATGGACGGCTTAGCCGTTAGTGTTAAGTTCAGTTCACTCATACATAAATCTAAGTCCGTGGTGCGCTTATGCCTTAGCAAGCCGCCACGTCAGAATTGAGCACGTGCTCAGATTTCATCGGCGACGACGCTTAGATCATCCGGCCGCTCTCTGCTCATCTAACTCCGAAATCTTCCAGCGAGATTCCTTCAACTGGAATCGGTAGGATCAAATTATTCATTTTTTTACAAGTTAGATCATTGAATGTCGACTACGTATTAAAAACATATTTCAAATATTACATTTGATAATAAAATAGTGGAGTTGTAAATTGATCGTAATATTCGGCTTTAAATTGCGATTACAGAGTCAAGCGTTGGCATTGACGCACAAGACGTCGCCACCTTCGAGACCCAGTAGCGTCTCGTCTTTACCAAGGAGTCCGCAGTCTCATCAGTCTCAACAGTCGCAGCAACAAAGCACCCCGCAACCCCCGTCGAGCACGCATCCTCACCAGTCGCAGACTCCCCTTGGTGCGTCCTCCCATCAGACACCGTTCTCTACTCACAGTCAGCACCCAAAGCAAGAAATTACTACGAGTCCGAAACAGGAAGGCTTTGACCTCAGTAAATCGGCCTCCAGCACCGGTGAGCGCTTTTTACATTTATTAACCATCTTTTACTTGTAAACATGTGTGGAACTAATTATATGGCAATTTTTTATTTTCGCATTTATCGTGACAGCGAAGTCATAGTAATTTGAACGTCTTTATAGGAACCCTAGATTTTCCAGCTCTATGCTCTTCTCTCTCTCTCTCTCTCTCTCTCTCTCTCGATGTCTTATTACCTGCGTTATCCTCGTACACTCCATTACACTTTGAGTTTCGGCCGACTGAACATCAAGTCGAACGTGGGACTCTACCGGCCATAAATTTTATCCTGAATTAAGTCACCTTTTCTAGGACAGGACCGTGTGAAAATCAGCTCTCGTCGTGTTTGCGAACTGTTATTCGGATTATCGTATTTGTACCATAAATGTGTTCAAAAAGTAAGAGCTTAAGATATCGGATAGAAATAATTTTATCAATGATAATTTCTCCAAGTGAAAACAATGTTCTTCAATTGAATGCTCCAGCTTAGAAAATTGGTTTGTAGGAATGATCACGGTCTCATTGTAAGATCGATCCAGTTTGATGCAAATGTATTTAGAAATGATGTGGAGCTTTGAGCGTCGCTCGTGGAATACTTCCGTCGAGAACGATGAAGACGCACGAACGCGTTCTCTCGCCGGAGGCTGTTAAAGCTCGTAAACGAGATAGACTATCAACGGAATTTCCTTGATCCTCGATAATGCTGTGGAAACAATTTGCGCGCGTCCGTTTGCCGGGAGGAACGGGAATCGTGTGAGTACCGACATACAAATGTATGGGACTCTCGCCATTCACTCGTTTACAAAAATATTCATATTCTTTTTAGACATTTTATTGAAATAACAGGAATTTATTCAACTATTTGCAAAACTCTTCTTTATTCATAGGAACGTAAAAATAAAATAAAGTAAAATAGAATATTATCGAGCCCTCTTTTATGCACTTTGTTATTTTTATGAGGAATGCTTTTGTTCATCGACGCTATGTCAGCTGGTTCTAGGATAAGAAAAAGAAGAAGAAGGTAGCGTCCTCCTTCCTCTATGCAAGGAAGAAAAGTACATATTTGACTTTGGAACCCTTCTCGCTCACCCTAACAATCCAGGCTATGAAGCTCGAGAAGGAAAAGACACGTACTTTCTAAATCTACGGATTGTCTAGGATTCAACCTTAAATCTCGAAGCAGCTTCGTAACTACTCCTCCTCATCCTTTTCCTTTTTCTCATCTTGTTATGCATACTGACTCCATCGGAAAAGATAGAAAAACTTTAAGCGCGAGGCTGGATTGATTGCCTTGAATGTCCTTGACCATTCTCGACGAATCAAATCGATCGGTATATCGTAATGAAACGGCGAGGAGACAATGAATTGGGCTTGTAAAATAATTCAAATGATCATGACAAGAGAAAAAAAAAAAGAATAAAAGGAAGTACGTAAATATATTTATTGATTTTCAGAACAATTGGATGCATTTTTTATGATTTTAATTGCATTAATTCCAGTGAAATTCAAATGGATCAGCAGTAAAAATGATTATCAAAGATAATTAGTCGAATTTGTGAAACGATTATATTTCTAATTAACTTACATGAGTATTATCAACTTAACTACTGGATTATAAAAATTCCAGCATGAAATTCAAAAACACCCTATATAGGAGTGAAGCAAGCAAGATACACATATGCGCACAAACGCACTACTACTATCGAGGATAGGAACGGGGAAAACGTCTTCCTTTCTTCCGGCACGGTTATCCGACCGTTTGGAATTAGGATAATCGTGCGAATGCGCGCGTATTTCATTCGGATTTACCTGTTCACGTATGTGTCCGCGCGAATGTGTTAGCAGCGTGTGTATATATATATATATATATATATATATATATGCGTGAACACGTATGTATCGAAAAGAAGATTAAATACTAATCGATAATTATATTTTCTTTTTCCTTCTCTTTTTACATNGTTTGGAATTAGGATAATCGTGCGAATGCGCGCGTATTTCATTCGGATTTACCTGTTCACGTATGTGTCCGCGCGAATGTGTTAGCAGCGTGTGTGTATATATATATATATATATATATATATATGCGTGAAGCTGAAGCAAAGGGAAAGCAAGGGCGATACGGAACAGGAGGGACTACGAAGAAGAACGAAGAGGAGGATATTGTGACCCTTACGAACTAATCCGGATTAAATTGGAATCCCTGGGTATGCGGCTAGGCGAGTTGCGAACACGCAGCCACTGAGCGCCATCGTCTTGCGCCATACGATCGTTCTCATTACGCCATTTAACCCTCGCGAGAGATCGGCTTCTGGCTTTCGAGACGGCCTTCAAGGAATAACGATTCTCTATCTTCCTTTTATTCCTACTTATTATCTTTGTCATTTTTCATTTATTATTTCATTTATTCTATGAAATCACTAACTATGTTTTATGTAAAGGGTTAATGTAAAAACGTTATTATATTTCTAGGAGTCATGTCTATGCCATATGCATTATACTTACTTTATAATAAGGAACAGATGACCTTGTAGATTATTTGAAACCGATTGAGATAAGGAATCGAATAGTATCTCGTTAGTACTGGTCATCCTTTTATATTTGATCTGTCTACTGGCAGGTGCGAGACAGCAATGTATTGTCGCGAGTAACGCGTGTCTCACGTTTCATACGTTGTACAATAGGCATAGATAGAACATGATAGAGAGAGAGAGAGAGAGAGAGAGAGAGAGAGAGAGACGCGGTCCAGCGTCTCCAGTACAAGATCGATCGCCATTTAAAGCCCTTGCTTCGTCGTGGTCTTCGAGCGTGATTAACGACGCTCGGTTAACCCTTAATCGATCTATGCGTATTCTAGGATACATCGACTTACGGCCAGCATTACAGCATCCGATCGGTCCACGTCGTTAACGAGTCCGTGCCAATCGTCCATAATGTATGACATATGTATATATTTCTATTATATGTGTATATGAACTCGCGGCTTCATTTCGGTGTTCATAGACGAAAATAATCCCCGTTTACTTTAATCAACAAATTTTGTCATTTTTATTTATATCGTATCACGTCACCCGGTAGATAGTTAGGTATACAGTGATGTAGCTTACGAGCACAATACACAAGTCAAATGCAAAATCGATAATCGTAACTCGCAATTTTGACCTAGGTGAGAAAGAGAATCCTATTGTATCATGGTTTCTTCTTTCTTTTTTTTTTAACTTGGCTATCTCGCAAATTTTGACAAGTTAGATAGTCAATTTCAAAGAGACAGGACATTTTATTCTTTAAAGGGGATAACAGGATATCGTGGCAAATTTCTACAAGAACGTGTTGCGAATGGATGATCAAAATAGTATTAGGACCTTGAATAAGTTCACGCTGTTTCATCAAAGATGGCAATAGCAGTGCTCCGTGCTTGAAATTTCGACATGCAGAGACTGGTTTCGACGCTTCAAAAATAATGATTTTGAACTTGAGGATAAAGAACGTTCTGGCGCACCAAAAAAATTGTCATGACACGTGTGAACTACTGCTTCAACGGCAGAAAAGAAAAGGTTTTTTGCATCGTATCGTGACTGGCGATGAAAAATGGATACACTATGATAATCCAAAGCGTAGAAAATCATGAGGTAAGCCTGGCCATGCATCAACATCGTCCGCAAAACCAAATATTCATGATTCGAAGCTTCTTCTCTGTATTTGGTGGGATCAGCAAGGTGTAATTTATTATGAGCTGCTCAAACTGAATGAGACTATCACGGGGGATCGCTATCGACTTCAATTGATGCGTTTGAGTATGCGTTTGCTAAAAGAAAAACGGCCACTATACGAGAAGAGACACGACAAAGTGATTTTGTTACATGACAACGGCCGGCCTCATGTTGCAAAACCAGTGAAAACCTACCTGAAAATGCTTCGATGGGAAGTTCTACCCTACCCGCCGTATTCACCTGACATAGCCCCTTCCGATTTTCACCCATTCCATTCAATGGCACATGGCTTAGCTGACCAGCGTTTTCATTCTTACGAAGAAGCTAAAAAATGGGTCGATTCTTGGATAGCCTCAAAAGACATGTCGTTTTTCCAACGCGGAATTCATATACTGCCAGAAAGATGGGAGAAAGTGGTCTCTAGTGATGGGAAATACTTTCAATAAAACGTTTTTGTCCCTTATATTTTAAATAAAGTTTTTATTTTGTAAAAAAAAACTGCGAGAACTTATTCAAGGTTCTAATATATTTGGATCGTTTAGACTGGTTTTGAAGGCGTTTGATGGTACACCCGTTATATGACGGGCCGCAATGCCGTGGAATACGCGGGATACGGCTAACGCGCGAGAGCTGTGCAAGAGGACGAAGAGGAGCGAGGAGAGGAATGGAACGGTGACCGCGCGGAAAGGGCCGAGTAAGAGAGAAGGGTGTGTACGAAGGGACCAAGCGAGAGAGAGAGATAGAGTTAGGTGGATAGGGGGGATGGTTAGGATTAGCTGAGTTGTGTGCGCTGGATTTCGGATTTGGACGACGGGCCGCGCACACACGACCAATAATCCCGGATTAATCCTGGACTTGCACACACACACACACACACGCATTGAGTGCACGTGAACGGTGATGGAGGTGCAACGAGAGAAAAAGAGCCTATGGAGGTTCAGAGTAGGATAAAGAGCACGTATAAATCGACGGATATACGTGTACGAATGTGTGTGCGTATCTCTGTATGGGAGACAGAGAGAGAGAGAGAGAGAGAGAGAGAGAGAGAGAGAGAGATTGAAAGAGTATATGTATATATTCGTTCATTTATTTATTCTTTCGTATGTATGGAAAATTCAATCGTAGGGATAACACATCGATTGAATTATTCGGGAGGTCATGCGAGAGTTCCGTTTACCGAATAAAATGCTTCTATCTGGGAATGTATATTCGTTCATATAATTATTAGATTTGTCGATTCACCCAAGAGAGAAAGAGAGAGAGAGAGAAAGAGAGAGAGAGAGATAGA